TAAAAATTCATATCATAACAAAAATAAACACCGGTATTCGGTATGAACCGGTATACCGCCCAGCACTACTTTGTAGTTATACTGAGTATCAAAGATATTAGCAACTTTTACTCTCTACTTCACTACATTTTTGACTGAGTATCTGTACTCTTTACTCCACTACATTTGATATGAGTGTTGCAGTTACACACTACATTTTGCATGGACCTAGCTTTTTCTGCATCAGTTTATTTTCTGCTAAAGACGTGATACTGCCAATTACAGGTAACTGAAAGTACTGCATCTTGTGCGTTTTGCCCTTACTCACCCAAACATTTCAACAAGGCATAAAATACTTAAGTACTGTTAAAATCAGATACTCTAAGACTTTTACTCAAGTTGTTTTGGAATTGGTGACTTGTAACGTGTAGTGGAGTAATTTTCACTGTAAGGTATCTGTACTTTTACTCAAGTATGGTTTTTAGGTACTCTTTACACCTCTGATCGTGGTACTGTCATGGATATATGTCAAAGACTGACACGGAAGAGAAGAAATTGTCATTATTTTTTATTTATTTACACACAAAAAGTATTCTCGTAGCTTCATAAAATTAAGGTCAAACTACTGATGACACATGGACTATTATAACAATGTCCTTACTACCTTTCTGAGCCTTAAAAGTGGTAGTTGCATTGCTGTATGCAGGGTAAGAAAGCTCTCGGATTTCATCAAAAATATCTTCATTTGAGTTCCGAAGATGAACGAAGGTCTTACGGGTTTGGAACGATGACACAAGTAATTAAACAGAATCTTCATTTTTGGGTAAACTATCTCTTTAAATTTCTGAGAAGCATATGCTGGTTTTGTTCTGTTGTGTCACAAATCTCTGTTGCTGCTTTTTAAATCGTTTTCATCACCATGGCAACCAAAATGCAATTCTAATCTAGCATTCAAACTCTGACAGCAAGAAAAGACAGATTTAGAGACACGCTTTGTTCAGACCCTCAGTCCAAATGCATATCATATTTGCTCGTATTTATCAAGTATGAACGACAAATAAATAATATAATGTAAAATACGATTTTTACAAATCTGTTTCAAGCCACATTCATATGTGGTTTGAAATTCTATTCAAATCACATTTATGGAAATCCGTTTCAGTCTGACCGCTATGATCGGATTCCGCATAGCTTTTTTGCTAGTCATTTTCTCACGCCATGTGCAACCAAAACATGTCAGACGTTGTTGTATGAAACATACTGAAAGCTGGTGCAGGAACAATGTTGTGTTGTTGCGAATTGCAGGTCGAGTGGAAAATTATGGTATACTGCTAGTCAGCCTGGTTTACACTCTTCTTTGAAGTTTGAAACCGATGGAGATGGCAGCACAGAATAAAGCCATGCCAACATCTGTATTGCAAACCCCGCCACAGGATACACAAATCTAATCTTAACAGTTGCATCATACAGAGTGGATAGTCAATAATTTAGAACAGATTCCAATTGGATACACAAATAATCGGCATTGGAATGGCAGGGTGAACAAAGCTGAAGTTCATAGAATGTATTAATTAGCCTAGTGCTTTTAAAAACGAACCCAGTATAGCGATGACCTCGTCATCCTGGATGACCTCCAGTGACCCTGACACAACGAAGCAGAGCAGGTCCACGATTTCACCCGCATGAAAGATGAGGTCACCGGGGGCGGAGTGTATCATCTGGAACTCCACGGCCAATGAGCGCAAGCATCCATCACTGGCCAATCGGAACGCTGGATGCTCGTTGAACACCTTCCTGTTCAGGTGCACGCAGATGTCTGCCCGCATGTCCTTGGGGCAGATGGAGAGCACCTGAGCACAGGTACATTTGCAATTTAGTATTTTCCACAATTAATATCAAAAACTTCAGTCATGCAACCATCACATCTGTTTCAGTTTCACCTTCTCTGTGTCGATGCCTTTGGACATGGACCACGTGGAGACGATGTAGTCCATCACTCTCTCACTGAGGCCTTTGGGCACCTGGTAGAGCTTGAGGAAATCCCGCACGTTATTCAGAATTTCATGGTAACGGTTGGTGTTTGCATACATCTGCTGGAAAATGGTCGTCACATTACCGAAGATAGTGGCATAAAGGAGAGCTACAGGACATGAAGAGAGAGAGAAAAAAGGGTCATGTAAGACAGATTTGAAATGTTACTTTTTTAGGGTCTGAATATGTGGCTGACTAAAGTACTTAACTATTAAATCAGTCCTTCAATCATTTAACAAAAAAACAAAAAAAAGTATTAAAAAAAATCTAAAGTTGTACTAAAATTTTAGGCATTTAAATAAAGTGTTAAATTTGCAAATATAGCTTTGGACCATAGTACTGAAATAAATATTTATTTAACATGTTGTTAAAAATGTAGCAACATATTTTATATTAATTGCAATACATATTAATTGTTTAAAATGTACTTTAACAAAGCTAAACCTTCATTTAAATAATTTCTTTTCATTACAAAAATGGTTATATAAATAATTTTCAAATTACCTAATGGACAAATCATGTATTTTCAAACCCAAAAGAGCTTGTAAAAATTAAAGTCACTGGATGCCACGTGGAAAACATTTTTTAAGAACTAAAAATTATTTAAATGGGGTAACAGAACAAGCACAAACAATAATGTTGTTTTTCTTTCTTTTTTTTTTTTCTTTTGAGTATTTATAAATATTAGATTTTACAGTAGGCTATCTGGTAACACTTAACTTAAAGCCTTTATGTATAATGCATTATAAAAGTAGTTTTAATTCATTAATTATGCCTGGTAATGCATCTTATAATGCATTGAACATTTAATATAGTACATTATAACAATTATCAATTCATTGTTACACTATGCATTTTAAATTCAGTTATAATTATTTACGCCAGAATATAATGTATTACAATGCACATTATTAATAATTATAATGCATTATACCCTTTAATAACCCTTTATAGTGCATTATACATAAAGGCTTTAGGTAAAGTGTTACCGGATATCTTTTATAAGAAAACTGAAAAATGAGTACATGTACAATGCAAACTTCTGGTACTGTTTTTATAGCTTTTCTCATGAGTTACCACAGTATCTTTGCTCCTCGTCTCTATGACAACCTTCCCTAAAATAGCTTTCCAAATACTTCCACTCATAACCAATAAGGGAAGAGCGGGAACAGAGAAGAAAGCAAAGTGGATGGAATATGATGAGATAAAAACGGATGATGAAAAGCCAACGAAATGACCAAGAATTTGTACAGTAAGAAAAATGATTCTGATCACAGAAAGGCAAAGAGAACCAAGAGTTAAGGGGAGGAGAAGACACAGATAGAGAGTAACGGGGACAACAAGAGTGAGTCGGGAGGACGAAGAGAATGAGTTAGGATGATGGAGGATTTCTTCTCTTTCTGATTCTTATTTTGGATATCAGCCATCTGACTCACCTGTACTGAGAGAAAGTAATTAAGAGTCAAAGAGACCAGACACACATCTGTAAACAAAATATTAACCTCATAAACACACGAAAGTGTGTGTCAGTCATTTAAAAAAAGGAATTCAGAAAGAACTTTTACTTTACGTTCTGATTTTACTGAAATACTGTGGCTCTGTTCATGCTGTAAACAGATTAAATGTCCATGTATGATGTTTTTAATAGGCTGCAAATTAGACTGAAAGCATCAAAACATTTTCAGTCATAAACAAAGCAATCTTTTTGTCATACCGGGATCAATAAGATTTGAGAAACAAAAACGATCTGTGAGGCAATTAACCTCCATGCAAGCTGTGAATCAGTTGTTATGAATCAGTTATGTGGGAAAAAAAAAAAAGTAAACTACTTTGTATAACTGCACTGAACTGACCTAAGCAACATTTTTGGTACAGAATTTTTAAATTAGAGATGCCATTAAAACATATCTTAACACTTAATATTCTTACACAAGAAATGCAAAAAAAAAAGTTATCCAAGGTGTATATGACTTCCTTCTTTCAGTCGAATACAATCGGAGTTATATTAAAAAATGTCCTTGCTCTTCCAAGCTCACTTACCTAGATTTACAGTCTAGGTTTATCTGGCATGTGTAAGTAAATACAACTATATTCTACCCTACATATGGATGGTGCATGAGGGAGAGTCTCAGGGGAACCTGTACAAACTACCACACATAATGAGGCCTTCTAGGACCTCACTACCACAGAGACAGACACACAGACAGACAGAGAGATGTGGGCAAGACAGGAATAAAGACAGAGTAAGACAGAAGATTCGGATCTTTAGTGAAACATGGAAACAAAAGAGAAAAGATCTTGACTGAAGGATCAGTAGATAAGAACAATGTGTTCAGATAATTACAGAGAGAGAAAGAGAGAATGGGACTGCACTGTGTATGAGCCTCATCAAAGAGTCATCAGAACAGCTAACTACAATTATTCTCTTCATTAATTGTGTACTGCTGTTTTATTGTGCGTGTGTGATCATCTCCCCTTGATCAAACCAAAGTGTTCTGAAGACAACATCACAAGTAGATCAACAGCCTTGTTAAGGGCCTTTGGCTGAAAACAACCTCGTTTCTGGCCTTACACTTTGGCATAAAAAGTGACAGCATACCACTGGGGTGGTACCAATAGGTACCTTTAAGGTACTAATATGCACCTTTTAAAGATAAATAAGGTACAAACTTTAGTATACCTTTTAAAAGGGTATTGCTCCAGTGACAGCTTTTGCACTTTTTTTGAAAGTCTGGCCTTAATAATGTCATTAGACACATGGGAGAAATCCCTTTTGCTTAGTGATATGCTGGTCACACTGGTTGAAGAGCCCTACATTTCATGCATCAGTACCCACAACAGCATCAACAGAGCTCATTTGAGCATCCTCTTAAAGGTTCATAATGACCCATTAGTCTAATAAGCATTTAAAAATGATTCCTCCACCTGTGTGATGTCAGGTTAAAGAGTATTACAAGTCAGGGAAACCGTTGGCTGGGTCAAAAGCAAGAAAATGCCTTATGATTCACAGATCTAATGGGGGTATTTTTACAAAAAGGCAAAGGAAATGAACATGAGTTGGAGCAGAAATGGGAGGCAAGTCATATCTGACTCAACTAAAACAGGCAATAACACAAAAAATTATGTCAAAAGGCAAAATCTCTTGCACTCACCATTTATTTGATCAAAAACATATATATATATATAGTGTATAAAGACACCAGTCTTTAGTGTCACCTGATCCTTTGGAAATCATTCTAATATGCTGATTTGCTGCTAAAGAAAAATTATTAGTAATATAAATGTATATACAAATTTTAAAGGATTTATTTTCACTCTTGATCATTTTAACGCATTTTTGCTAAATAAAAGCATTAATTTATTTTGAAAAATCCTTTATTAACTGTTTTGTAATATTATAAAGAAAAATAAATGAATGAAAAGAAATCTATAAAAAATAACCATGTATCTCAACATCAAGGTCATAGTTTTGAGTTCTAGGGAATGTATATATTTGGCATTTGAACCTGGGTTTTCCTGCACACTAAAGAAATACTGTAAACTTAAAAAAGTATCCTTAAAAACATGGATGAGGCCCCTGAGAGTCAGTGCATGGGGGTCATTAGGGTTTCTATATGTGTGTTTGTGCAGGTCAGCACTCATACATGCTGGTAATTATGATCGCATCTTTGTTCAGTCTCTAGAGTGACTCCTCACCACATGCACGGATCTGGAAAAGGACATTAACAACCATTGGCCTCGTTCCTTTATTCTGGCCAGTTATATGTCCCTCTCTCCACCGATCTCTCTCTATTACTGTCTCAGAGTTATTTCTGAAGGAGATGCACTAGAAGCAATGCACTGCTGTCTGGAGGACAGAGGGGCAGATGAGATTAGTCTGAGTTATTCTGACAGAGGAGAGAATAAACAGAAAAAAAAGAGTAAAGAAGCAAGAAAGGAACAGAAAAGAGACCCCGTTTAACCTGGTATTAAGATTTACTTTGGCTGATTCGATTTCCCAAATGAAAATGACAATATCTACCCTGATCATCTATGATCAGATCACTTAGCCAAGACAGGTCTAAAAAATAAGACATGAAAGAAGACAAGCACTCACATCCGACCATCATCATGGCCACAGAGAAGATCTTCTCTCCGTCTGTAGTTGGCGCGATATTTCCGAAGCCAATAGTGGTCAGGCTGGTCATGGTGAAATATAGTGACGTTATATACAGAGAGTCTTTCCCAGGGCCACCCTCCCATTGGCCAGTCCCACTGGCATTGTACCGGTACGGGGATCCAATGCTGGTGGCTAACTGGTAGAGCCAGCTGTCAGTCTTGATGGTGTTGGTTTGTTCATCAATGACCTCGTAATCTCCAATGCTGTACCATATGCAGGCAAGCCAGTGGGCAACCAATCCAAACACACAGACCAGTAACACGAGCACAGCTGCACCGTACTCCAGATAGTGGTCCAGTTTACGCGCAACACGACCCAATCGAAGCAGTCGAACCACCTTCAGAGAACTGAACAAGCTGCTGATGCCCTGGAAAAGAAAAATAAATAACAGACAGTCACATTTAGTATAAATATAATATGTTTTACCTATACGTCTTACCTTTACATATCTGTTACATTATTATATATTATATATATATTACATATATATATATATACAGTGGGTACGGAAAGTATTCAGACTGTATTTACATGTATATATTTATATTCAGATAATTTATATTATATATAAATATATTTAATATATAAACATTACATATTTTTCTTAAATATATACATGCATATATTTGTATTTATATATACATAATAAATATGCACAGTACACTCACATATATTATGTGTTGTTTTAATTTTGATGATTAGAACTTACAGCTCATAAAAGTCAAAAATCCAGTATCTCAAAATATTAGAATATTTAAATTTGAGTGTCATTAAATGACCATTCCTACAGTATAAATTCCGGGTATCTCTTGTTCTTTGAAACCACAATAATGGGGAAGACTGCTTACTTCGCAATGGTCCAGAAGACAATCATTGACACCCTCCACAAAGAGGGTAGGTCACAGAAGGTCATTACTGAAAGGAGTGGCTGTTCACAGAGTGCTGTATCAAAGCATATTAAATGCAAAGTTGACTGGAGGGAAGAAATTGGGTAGGAAAAGGTGCACAAGCAACAGGGATGACCGCAAGCTTGAGAATACAGTCAAACAAAGCCGTTTCAAACACTTGGGAGAACTTCACAAGGAGTGGAGTGAAGTCAGTGCATCAAGAGTCACCATGCTCAGACGTCTTCAGGAAAAGGGCTACCAAGCCACTTCTGAAACAGAAACAACGTCAGAAGCATCTTACCTGGGCTAAGGAGAAAAAGAACTGGACTGTTACTCAGTGGTCCAGAGTCCTCTTTTCAGATAAAAGTAAATTTTGCATTTCATTTGGAAATCAAGGTCTGGAGTCTGGAGGAAGACTGGAGAGGCAAAGAATCCAAGCTGCTTGAAGTCCAGTGCGAAGTTTCCGAAGTCAGTGATGATTTGGGGTGCCGTGACGTGTGCTGGTGTTGGTCCTTGTGTTTTACATTTACATTTAATCATTTAGCAGACTTAAGCATTTAGCAGAGAATGGAATAGAATAGGTAAGTGCTAGTATTAGTTCGTCAGGTGCTGGCGAAAAAGATGTGTCTTTAGGCATTTTTTGAAAATGGCCAAAGACTCAGCTGTTCGCATTGAGAGGGAGGTCATTCCACCAGCTGGGCACAGTCCAGGAAAAGGTCCGTGATAGTGATTTTGTGCCTCTTTGGGATGGCACCACAAGGCGTCGTTCACTTGAGGAACGCAAGCTTCTGGAGGGCGCATAAGTTTGAACTAGTGAGTTTAGGTATATTGGTGCAGCGCTAGTTGTTGTCTTGTAGGCAAACATCAGTACCTTGAATTTGATGCAAGCAGCTACTAGCAGCCAGTGCAAACTGATGAAGAGAGATATAACATGAGCTTTTTTCGGCTTGTTAAAGGGGTCCTATAATGCTCTTTTACAAAGTCTTGATTTTGTTTTGGGGGTGTACTAGAACAAGCTCTCATATTAGGTTGTTCGAAAAAAAAACATTATTTTTCACATATTTTATATTATTACAACACCTCTCTCCCCAGTCTGGCATGAATGGCTCGAATAGTTCCTGTATTAAATGAAGGCCCGCCTTCTGAAATACGAAATGTGCTGTGATTGGTTAGCTGGGCCAGTGTGTGTTGTGATTGACAGCACTCGGCGCCTGGTCAGGAAATGTCATGCCCCTTACCATAGCCGCCTGCGAGCTTCAGTGTAAATATTGCGTCAAGATCAAATCAATTTGAGCCCGATTTAAACTCGGATGACTGTAACCACTCTAAGTTTGTCTGCCTTGGGAAAGCTAGCGTGTCTCCGACATAGTGATAACACTCGTTGCCTTCTCTAGTGCAGCTCAACCAGGTCTCGTCCCATTCGTCAATATTTGTGATATCACAAATCCCGGAAAATATGTGTTGTAGTCCAAACGAGTCGTTCGTTGTAGTTTTTGAAAAGTGATTTCTGTTAAATAAAATATCTCCTTTTGAAGTGGACTTTGAGCTTTGTAACCTTGCAGATCTTTTTTTTGTAATATGCATTGCCAAGAACTTCATTTGGACAACTTTAAAGACAATTTTCTCAATATTTTGATTGGTTGCACCCTCAGATTCCAGACTTTCAAATAGTTGTATCTCAGCCAAATATTGTCCTATCCTGAAAGCTTATTTATTCAGCTTTCAGATGATGTATAAAACTCAATTTTCAAAAAATTGACCCTTATGACTGGTTTTGTGGTCCAGGGTCACATTTTTTTATGCAAATCCCTAATTTTTGTATTAATATATGAATAATGGTGCTACTGAAGCCTGAAGTCATGTATGCTCCTCATCTTTCTTTGATGCTGGCCTGCCTAAATGCAGATGGTCTTTATGAGAATAAACAGAAGATTACATAATGTTTACAGCAATATTTTAAATATAAAATTCTCTACAAAATTCATACACAGAGCGGAGAAGAGTGGACTTGAACTAGTAAATACACACAATGCAGCTGTGAGGGATTTTAAACATATATATTTATGAATTAAGAATTCAGTCCCTCATTTTATTATTCTGTTCCCTAGTTTGTTAATTTGTGGCCATGTTGTCAGAGAGAGAATGGAAAATTAATGTGTTAAGGGAAAAATTATCTTAATGTACAGTACAACAATATAATTATTCACAATCTTCTTTCTTTTTTAAGAGAGTTATTCGTCTAATGATTTCAAAAGAATATAATGGTTACTATTCCAGCTGAGCTACTTGATGCATCACCGCTTTCTTTAGCTAAATTATATTGAATTTGTTGTCATAAAGTAAAAATGTAATGACAAATAAAGAGGACAGTCATAAATAATTATAAGAAACTGTCAAGATAACCAATCCCCTATGGTGGTTTGGATGTAACATCACACCCTTGATGGTTAAAAGTGGCTTTAAAAGATCCAGCAACCACAGAGAACAAGATGCATCAGAGGGTTAATTAAGATAATTATGTTAAGTACGTTTTTGGAACAGGAAACCTTGATTAAGTGGACCAGAGAAAGAAAAAGAAAATTATCCAAACTGTATGATATAAAATTCTGTTTGCTTGACTGACATTTATTCTCCAGCTCTTGAAATACAATAGAATCTTCTGGGACAGGTCCATCCTATAGCTACTGCTCTCTCAGAGCACTTCCACAGGGACCGTAGATTGCAGGGTCCACACTAAGGCATCTTGGATCACTCTTACATCATGACATGAAGGCTTTCTCAGTGGGTTTCTGGTACAGTGAGCAGCTCTTTAAGGTAATACTTGTACATTAAACTTTAGTTGTGAGTTTTAAGGTTGTGTTCACACACAAACTTTAAAGAGCCATTAATACTTGACAACAATGACAACTTGCATTCAAAAAAAGGTAATTCATTTAGTGATTTCTTTTTTTGACTGTTTTTTTACCCTCCGGGGTTGAAATCAACATTGAGTAAACAGTATGTGAATACTGGGGATTTTTTGACATGGTCTCAAACTGGTAGTCTAGGCATCACAAATGGCATCAGTTCATACTATGAGTGTGTTGAAAGATTTGTCAAATTATATGTGAATCAACAATGCTCTCAAAAATACCCACAAACACAAAATCACATTCATGTGTATTTTCAATGCCATTCACAAATGCAGTGCACATATTTGAGCATTAAATTACAGATATAAAATGACATGTATGTGTTTGTGGATTGTACTATAGGCTAAAAAACAGTATATATTTTTGTGCATTTTGTTGCAGCTTTTGATACTGTTCGTATCGAGTAAATTGGCAAATACTGTAGGTCTTTTCTTATTAGAGACCTCACTAAATAAATAAAAAAAAACTAAATAAACAAGAAAATACCAAAATAGGTGGTATGAAAAAGAAAAAAAAGACTTATTCTCTAAAACAAGAAAACAAGCCTTAATATATTTTACAATTTTGCAAAAATTTTATTTATCTTGTTTTCACGACGTCCATATATTTTTACTGGAAAACAAGACACAGATTAATGAAAAAGCTGTTAATGTACTTCTCATAATATAAATCCCAGAACAGTCAGGAAGATAAAAAGAGAGAAAAAATATGAATGAAAGCCTGCTAGCGTTCAATGAAATCATGTTTACAGGTGTGTCTGGGGCTCAGATCGCTGCACTGACTTCCTGAGTGAAAGAGAGAAGATGATCCACTGTGTTTGCACTAATCAATATCTATCCTAAAGCACATAACCTGGACAGACTCCAAGAATATATAACATAAACCAGGAAAGGATGCAAAGGACAACATGACTTTGTAACGGTTCAGTTTTCAAGAGGAAGGGCTTTACCAATCATCACACATTATTGGCTGAGTATTTGGCCAATCAATACAGTGGGCTTCTTTTTATTAGTATCGGTCTCAAAGCCACAAACCACACATAGTCCGTTCAATGACTGTCTGTCTTGTGAATACTACTCACATAAATGATTAGAGCTGCAAAGATACTACAATTTCTGTGAGTCTTCTCAGGTCTCAGGAAACTTCTGGGTTTTCCAGGTACAGAGTCTAAAAAATGAGCGCTTCTTTGGAAAAACTCGTTTGTTAGAACTTATTTGCAATGTAGTGGCATTTTGAGGCCCTTAGTAGTACACAAACTTAGAATCCATAAATATAATGGTTTTTGACTAAATTAAGCTGTAAAATGGACCAGACTTTATGCCGTCAATCAAAAGTTTGTCTGCTGTATGTGAAACTACCTTTCACTGAGGTTCTTTCTGGCAAAATTTCTACATTTTTGCAGACGGATAAATATTTCAGTTCAGCTTTTCTGTTTTTCTGTCCCGAAACTATCAAGCTCTTCAAAAGTTTAAATGAATTTGAACAAGAACCCTAAAGCATTATCCTCAGCAGAGTACCTTTGAGGAGCCCTGACATAGGAAATAATTGTTCAATCTTTCATCTTTGAGGTGTTGACAGATAAAAAAATATATAAAATATTTGAAGCACTGCTAAGTTTTACTTGAAAAAGCCAACTACAGCTTCTCTTCTGACAATAGTGTCAAACATTTTTAGAATATAATACAATTAATATTTAATTGAACTACTAACACTTTTTCCAAGTGTTGAACCCATTTCCATTCCACTCTGTGTCCTAATCAGGTACAAAGCAACAAAAAGGCAGCTTGGTTTCTCACCTCATCCACGTTTTCGAAAGCGTTAACAGTCAGGAAGATAAAAAGAGAGAAAAAATATGAATGAAAGCCTGCTAGCGTTCAATGAAATCATGTTTACAGGTGTGTCTGGGGCTCAGATCGCTGCACTGACTTCCTGAGTGAAAGAGAGAAGATGATCCACTGTGTTTGCACTAATCAATATCTATCCTAAAGCACATAACCTGGACAGACTCCAAGAATATATAACATAAACCAGGAAAGGATGCAAAGGACAACATGACTTTGTAACGGTTCAGTTTTCAAGAGGAAGGGCTTTACCAATCATCACACATTATTGGCTGAGTATTTGGCCAATCAATACAGTGGGCTTCTTTTTATTAGTATCGGTCTCAAAGCCACAAACCACACATAGTCCGTTCAATGACTGTCTGTCTTGTGAATACTACTCACATAAATGATTAGAGCTGCAAAGATACTACAATTTCTGTGAGTCTTCTCAGGTCTCAGGAAACTTCTGGGTTTTCCAGGTACAGAGTCTAAAAAATGAGCGCTTCTTTGGAAAAACTCGTTTGTTAGAACTTATTTGCAATGTAGTGGCATTTTGAGGCCCTTAGTAGTACACAAACTTAGAATCCATAAATATAATGGTTTTTGACTAAATTAAGCTGTAAAATGGACCAGACTTTATGCCGTCAATCAAAAGTTTGTCTGCTGTATGTGAAACTACCTTTCACTGAGGTTCTTTCTGGCAAAATTTCTACATTTTTGCAGACGGATAAATATTTCAGTTCAGCTTTTCTGTTTTTCTGTCCCGAAACTATCAAGCTCTTCAAAAGTTTAAATGAATTTGAACAAGAACCCTAAAGCATTATCCTCAGCAGAGTACCTTTGAGGAGCCCTGACATAGGAAATAATTGTTCAATCTTTCATCTTTGAGGTGTTGACAGATAAAAAAATATATAAAATATTTGAAGCACTGCTAAGTTTTACTTGAAAAAGCCAACTACAGCTTCTCTTCTGACAATAGTGTCAAACATTTTTAGAATATAATACAATTAATATTTAATTGAACTACTAACACTTTTTCCAAGTGTTGAACCCATTTCCATTCCACTCTGTGTCCTAATCAGGTACAAAGCAACAAAAAGGCAGCTTGGTTTCTCACCTCATCCACGTTTTCGAAAGCGTTGATGATGTCATAGGGCAGACAGGACAGCAGGTCTATTACGAACCAAGTCTTCAGGTAGTTCATCCTGATCAGCTTCGGATCCGAGATCACCTCCCCTCCAGGCCCGACAAACGTGGTGTGGAAGTTGAGCACGATGTCCACAAGGAATATGACGTCCACAACGCTGTCCAGAACCAGCCAGGTGACATTATTCTGTTTGGTCTTGAAGGAGACGTTGTAAGGAACCATGATGGCGGTGTAGAAGGTCAGGATGAGGATGACCCAGTCCCAGGTGGTCTTAAAGGTGCAGTAGTGTAAGATGATGTGAGGCGGGGTCTTAGGGGCTTCCTGCTTATACTGCGGAAGAATGTCAGAGCCGAGCTGAAGCACCTGAGGAAAAAAAAGAGATAGAGAGTAAAGGATCTAAGACAAAAAGAATAAGAATTTAAAATCCAATGCCAGTTCAATTCTACGTTTTTTTTTTGACAATAATATTTATTTTGAATATGACTGTAGGAAAATGCCTGGTCAAATTATTTTTATTTAGATTTTTTTTACATTTATTTAGTATAATTTATCAATTTGATAATTAAACTAAATTGACCACTTTTTTTCCAGTTCTTTTGACATTGCTAATAAGGAGATTATCTTAAGGGACAATGAGAGTGAAAATGAAATGAAATATAGAGAGCCCTAAGGAAAGTGAGTTTGATTTAAATATTAATTCTAGCTCTGGATAATTTCCACTCTTCCCTAGACAATACACTGTTTGTTGTATACTATGCATGTTCATATAAACAGAACATGAAGTTTACTCAGAGATTTAAAGCTAATTCCCTTTCTAGAGAGAGACAGTGAAGAACTGTTGGATTCAAATGTGAAAATGGCTGCATATAGTGTTAAATTTTGATTGTTAATAATGTCAGTCTAAATCAAGAGGAGACCTTTACTCTTAGAATAAAGAAAAAAGTAAGTTCACAAAAATTATAAATTGTAAAGTTTACAAAAAGAAAAGTCTGAAAGAATTAAAATACATCTTAAAAAATTCAATCAACAACATCTATGGCACATTTGTGGCAAAAATCATTTTTACAAGCTTATTTTCTTTACAAAAAGGCAAAAATTCAATTGATGCACACTGTACAATGGAAGTGAAAGGGGACAATTTTGGAGGATTTAAATCATTTTATTGAAGCATTAATTCTTCTGTTAAATTATTATTTGAGCTGTAAAGTTGTTTTCATAATTTTTACAGTCGTTTAGGGCTATAGGCATTTTAATTGGATGTAATTGCACAAAAAAGCTAGTAAGCTCTAAAATCACATTAATGCATTTCATCTTTACGTCTTGTGGCAAGACTTTTGAAACTATAAGTATAACTATAAGTATTTTAATGCTTGCATTAATTTCCGTTGTAGTACCTCTCTGTAACCAAGTAGAAAAAAGTCAAAATTCATTCTTATTACTCAATATTTTCACAAGTACTGTCGATTAAGTTTAACATAAACTGAACCCAGAATCATCCTTTAAGTAATTCAGGATGAATGAATTGGGGAAATTTAATACTTGGTGATTTAGTGATTAATAGCAAACCTTAAAGGGGTCATATGATGCAATTTCAATTTTTCCTTTCTCTTTGGACTGTTACAAGCTCTTGGTGCATAAAGAAGATCTGTAAAGTTGCAAAGACTAAAGTCTCAAATCCAAAGAGATATTCTTTATAAAAGTTAAGAGTCAACCACGCCTACCTAAACCAGCTCATTCTAACACGCCCCCACATGTCTACGTCACGATGTGGGAAGATTTGCATAACACCGCCCAAATGTTCACGCAAAGAAAGAAGGCGTAACTTTTATCCTC